TAAAATTTATAAATTCATTTCGTTTTTCTATTTCACTTTTCCCTATTTTCCTTATTCTTTTATTTATATATATTTTTTGATAAATAAAATAATAATCTTTTTTCTATCAATAAATTTATTATCCATATTAAACAGATAAAACTATTTTGTCTATTTTGTGTTTTTATGTTTACAATACGATAACATATATTCAAAACAGTTAAAATCTACATCTTTTATATTACATATTTAATTAAAAAATTATATTTATTAAAAAATAATCTTTTGACAGTATTAATGTCAACTTTTATTATTTTTGCCATATAACTCTCATAAGTTTAGTTTTCATAATATGATTATTTGATTATAATTTGTGTCATAATAATATAATCATATCATTAAGAATATGATGATACTGCAATAATATAAAAATTAAATCAAAATTAAATTATTGTATTAGCAGCATTAAACGCGATTAAAAATTAATTCTGGTTTTCTTTTAATACGAATGGTGATAGTTTAAAGGTATCAAGAAAAGAAAAACAACCGAAAGTTTTCTCTGTATCTTGTTTGAGTATGTACAGGAGCTTATACTTCGTCGGTTATGCAGCTGCAGCTGCAATCATAGCTGTGGTAATAGCTCGCACATTAATTTACCCTCTCTTGAGCAAAAATTCAATTACGTGTGTTTCTTTGTTTTGAAGGCGATCGCAGGGTGACAAGGCGGTGGCAGCGAGGGCGAGACGCGGGGTTAGCAGTAGCAGCAGGGGTGGGAAGACCCGCAATTCCCGATGAGCTTACATCCAGGAAACCTTGCAAACGCCAAACGTCGATACGCCGACTCTCGAGCCGGCGGCAGCCATCTTGGAGGGTTGCTGTGCGTTCCTCCTCTCTTGCGAACTTTTGATACTCCAAAGTAATTTCGGCATCGTCGATCTGACGCAAAGTAGACTCACAATGATGATTGACAAACTATTCAATTAAAAAGTTAAAATTAACAAAGTTAAAATTTGTCTGCAAAAAATTTATTCCATTTTAAATTCTCATATTTTTGAAGAAGATGAAATTATTGAGTCCAAAGATATTTCCGAAATTTTCGATAGCTTCACAAAGCGTAATCTCAATTTTGTTAAATTTAACTTAATTTATATGTGAAATTTGGTCAATCTGTATTTACGTAATCTCTTGAGATTTTGATTTTAGAGCGGTATATAAAAAAAAAAATCTATGTTGATATATAATTTATTGATAATCTGCTTCAATCAATTTGGCTTATTTAGCAAGAAATTTGTTTCATAATATTCATAATGGTTCATAATGGAAAAGGAATTTATAAGACGAAACATTTCAATCATGTAAACTATAAATTTAAAAATTACTTTAATATTTAAATTACTTTAATATTTAAAAATAAACTTTTAATAAATTATTCTCCTATTATATTAATATTTGTCACTGTATAAACATAATTTCCAAATGAATAACAAGCATTAAATAAATATAATTTATTGACTTATCATGTAAATTAATCATACGTTTATCATGTATATTATTTAAGCAACTAATTTTTTAAAGGAAGCTCTTAAATTGAAAAATTTGCAGATTAGGAGAGACATTCCGTGTCTTTATATCCTGCATAAATCAGTACTGTGCCTGTTTAATCACAATTGAATGATTAAACCACATCGGGGGATGACAGGAACGGCGGTAATCGTCCATGATTAGAGATCTAGCCTGACAAGATAGCAGTTATCTTGTCGGCAAAGTGATTGCGGATTATCCCCGCACAGTCACGATAAACGTTTTGATCATGGTTACTTAATTAAGTCTGTGGCTTAAGTACGCAACCGGGAACAATTCTTGCATAGCGAAATGTTGTACCTAATATATTTGGGGCTTTATCGGATGTTGCAGTTATACACTTTTTGTAATAAAATAATACAAAACAGTCACAAACATTTTATTGAATATAAATAAATAAATTTATTTTTATTTCCTGTTTTAATATTTTTTTTCCCTTTTCAATGCTATAAACTGTAATGCTAGCTGTAAACTAAGCTGTAAACTATTTGTGTGAAATACATGCAGCCAATATAAATTGCATAAATTTGTATTAATTTCATTTATATCAGAGAACTATTGTATAGAAGAAACAAAAATAAAAATTTTATTATTTTTAATATATTACTGGATATGTTGAAATTTTGATTAATATTAATTATATTTTTACATTTATCAAAATTATTGAATATGAAGTTTGGATTTCCGAAATGTGTTTTCAGTTCTCAATTATCCGAAGTCCGTTTTCTTTTGTCGCTTCTCAGTGAGGTAAAATTGTTAGTTTTATTAGATACTTTTTATTAGATACTTTTATTAGATACTTAGATGTGATATCAGCTCCGTGGATACACAGGTCATGTACAAGCGTGTGCGCGAGCCGCGTGCGGCCGGCTGGCACGCGCCACGTGTAATTCAATCGGCTATTCGAACGAACCATCCATGGTGGATCAGGAAAGGTGGACGGTGGACATATCCTAATCCTGGGGAAACGGTTACGGCGTATATAATCATCTTGACGACGATCTCCCCACCTTATTTTCTTAGCTGGTTCCTCATAGACAGATGTGCCGTTCAGTTTCTTCTTCGTCAACAACCCTTTTTTTTTTTCTATAAGAAATTTGAGACGCATTATTTCCTTGCATTAAGTAACAACTAAAAAAAAAAAAACCTGAAAAGAGAAATAATTGTTATATAATAGTTCGTTTAATGCTCTTGCTTGTCTCGGCCGTGCTGTTATAATCTTGTCGCAGAAGTGTTCTAATATGTTCACAATTTTGAATTAAAAGATTTGATGAAAAGATTGAATTTAAGGTAAAAAAAAGGATTTTAACATAATTCATCATGCTGCAATTGTAATATGTAACTCGTTAAAGAAAAATCGTTAAATTCTATTTAAAATTAAATATATTGTTAAAATTTCTAATTCTCTTTAAAAAAAAATTGTTGTAAAATTCAAGATTGCTATGGTTCCCATACTTAAATATTGGATTTATTATTTTTAGAAAATTGTAAATCCAGCCTATAACATTAAAGACCATAGCTGATTTAAATTCGTTGTATTATGTTCGTAAATTTAAACATCGGATTTATACTCAGTAATTTAAGAAATTCTGTATTATAAATTTAAAAAATTCAAAGATTTTTAAATTTTGTCATTTAATACATTAATTTTCGCTTGTTAGTTTTGACAGTAACTAACAATCTAGAAAACGCTTAGATTTGGGTAAACAATTAAAAAAATATAAATCTTTTATCTCTTATAACAGTTTTGTTTATTTGTTTTTTAATCTTATTGATCATATATCTTTTACTTTTAACAACTCTAATAAATCCTGAATAATAACAACAAAGTTATACATCGCATCTATGTTTACAATCAGGGGTGGAAGATTTTAATCCTTCCAGATCAAACTTCTTGCACATAGATAGTGTAGTGCACGTGGTCATCGCGTAAAGAACACAAGATTGAAAGAGCGACTGATCAGCGTGCGTGTTTACACGATTTGTAATGGTGCGTAATCGCCTCTTTGATTTTGGTCGTGAGCAAACACAGGTGCGTCAAAAAGTACCCCATATCGTACCTGCCGCCGCTTCCACTCGTTGATGTACCAGTATTCTACGGATTCACGATTCGAGGGAGTGAAAAGGGTGAGTAGGGGCGAATTGTGAATAGTCGCTGAAACAAGTTTGCGAAAAAAAACTCGCGATTTTGATTTCAACAAACCGTTTCAATGAAATTTGTATGTACATAAATATATTTCAATGAATGTTCAATAAATTTTCATGTTAACAATTTTCTAATTAAAAATAGAAAAAAATAAAAGTAGACATTACAATATAAATTAAATGTTTTTACACATAAAAATTTAATAATACTTTTCGCGTGTACTAATTTTTTTCTAATCTAATTAATTTAATTATTTTTTATTATAACTGATAGTTTCTAATAATATTCTCATTATTAATTGGATTTAGATCGAGAAGAAAAAGAGGATAATTTTCTATCAGACTTTATATAAATACCGTGAACCTAATCGGTTGGAAGTGTAAGCCAATACCAGGTTGTACACACGACGTGTCATGGGTCTTGGATCCTATGCGATCCGCTTTTTTTTTCTTTCTCTTTATTTTTTCTGCTTATATGTATTAACTATTACATATAAATAATAATTTATGTAACATAGATAACTTTAAAAGTTGTTATTACGTAAAATAAGTAAAATTTAAAATGTACGTATTTCACTTAATTCTCTCTCTTATGTCATTTATATATCACACTTTCTATAAGCAATACAAAATTTAAAATCTATTAAAAATATTCTATTAAAAATATACAATTTACAATCTTAATATAAACTTAATAATTTAAAAATCACTTGTTTTGCTTCATCAACACGCATAAATTTGAAGCTGAAGAAAAATACATTTCTTAAAGCCGCTAAATCTTTTAATCATTAATTCTACTAAATTCTACTTAATTCTACTTATTATCTTCTGAAAATGTCTTAGAAAAGAAAAGATTGACTTTGTATTACTCAAAAAGTTTTTTTTTTTATTGAGTCCACGGAGCGTTCTGTGTGCGTATCGATGAATTTTGGACGAGTTCGAAAACATGATCCTTGCTCCCATCGGCACCCTCACGCTGATACGATGACACACAACATGATGGTGACGATGTGTCGTGCTCGTGCGGTTGACTTCCTCTTCCTGCGTCCGCATATCGGAACTACGCAGTCAGGTGTCCGGTCTATATTCGCCATTCGGTATACTCGCGATTACGCGGACATTTGATAGTCGCACTCTCATCAAGAATGATACGATGATCAACGCATAATGAGAAAACAAATTAATAGTGAATTTAAGACAATGCGTACATCAATTCATTTAAATTTATTTAAATTAATTATTCCCTTCCCTCGTGTTAAAATACATACGTGTTAAAAGAAAAAAAAATAGTGTTATTGTATAATATATTAAATAGGCAATAATAATAATAATAATAATAATAATAATAATAATAATAAAGTATTAAATGCCCTTATCTTAAAATTATATCATATCTCGAAATTAATTTAAAATTCACAATGTCTCTTTTAAATCCAAGACGTGTGATATAATGTCAAATTGTTGCCAAAGTAAGGATCGAATCCTTCAGGAAAGTGACGTAGGATACTCCGCATACTGAAGAGAACGCGTATTTTCGCGGCCGGGTTCACCGTTGACTGGTCAATATCCACGAAAAGGAAGGCATTACAAGCCGGTGATCTCGAGAAGGGTATCGAAGAGCAGGACCACCGTGATCGGCGCGCGGTAATGGTATCTGGAGAAAATATAATATCCCCCCCCCCCTCCCTCCATCCAGCCAGCTAAGATATATCATCTGTATAAGCGTAGCGCGAGAAAGATCGCCGATCGTCGATGATCGCTGAATGAACGATTAGTATCCTGTGTCGTCAGCGTCAACATACGTATAATGCATGTCGCTCGACACTGGCACATAGCTTGGTTAAATATAATTAAAAATAATTCCTAACTTGTTCGTGGATCTAAACTCAATCTCACTCCTAAGACACTGTCTCATCATATTCTTTCGTAATTTATGTTCTCTCTCTCTCTCTCTCT